GAATTCTGCTCATTCACATCCAGCAAAGTCTTTCAAAGGAGGATTTACTGTCACAGACCTCATCTGGCTTGGAAAGCTGCCAGGATGATATCTGCAGAACTTGGCAAGGAATCTCGGAGAGTCACGAACCAATGAAGCGAACTAATTGCCTCCTGCAAACTCCACTCCCCTTTTGCTCCTCTTTATTCCCTCTGGGAGGGGCCATTCATTGTCCACCTGTGTCCTTACTCCCAAGTCGACCCCTGTTCTTTAGCTGCTCCCTTCGTTTGGCAACTCTGTGCACACTGGGAACAGGCTCCAGCTGTTCTTCTGCCTCGCTGATGTCTGACTCCGAAGGCAGCTGATGACTGTCGGATGGCCCTGGCCCCCTCTCTGCCTTCCCCAGACTCCGGGACTGGCCCATCTTCCTCCCCAACCTCGTCACTGTCCGAATCTGCTGCCAGCTCTGCTGGCCGCTGGCGGGCCACCACACAGAGATAAAATTGGAAATAAGATGCTACGGGTCTCCTCTCTTAAGGAGATCCATCTAGTGAGATCGAGAAGGAGGGCCTTCTTTGTGGTGGCTCCCTCCCTGTGGAATATCATCCCTGCAGAGATAGGATTGACCTCCCCATCTTGATAACTCTTTTACAAGACCCTGAAAATCTGGTTCTTCCAGTGGGCCTGGGGACCGCAGAGCGGGATGGGGCCCATCAAATGGCACGTTAGACTGCTGTTGCCGGGGAAGTGTGGTGATTGTGTGATTGTGTGTGTCCTTCCACACACATTTGGTCATGTTCTTGCGATGACGGAAACCCAAAGAATGATTCAATGGACCCCGCGTTTACCAAGGTGGTTAGAGTGGTTGGAAGGCAGTACTGCCTGCAAACTCTGCCCACAGCCAGGAAGTTCGATCCTGAACAGCTGAAAGCTGACTCAGCCTTCCGTCCTCCAGAGGTCGGTAAAGTGAGGACCCAGATTGTTGGGGATAAGAGGCTGACTCTGTAAACCACTTAGGGAGGGCTGTAAAAGCACTGTGAAGCGGCATATAAGTCTAAGGGCTACTGCTAATTCTCCCAGCTTTAGTGTGAAGAAACAGAACATAGAATTGTAAAACTGGAAGGGATCTCAAAGGTCATCTAGTCCAACCCTCTGCTTGAGCAGAATACCTTACACAATTCCAGACCAAGGGCTGTCCAGTCTCCGGTGATGGAGCACCCACAACTTCTGGTGGCCAGCTGTTCCACTGATTAATTGTTCTAACTGTCAGGAAATTTATCCTCAGTTCTAAGTTGCTTCTCTCCTCGATTAGTTTCCACCCATTGCTTCTTGTTCTACCCTCAGGTGCCTTGGAGAATAGCTTGACTCCCTCTTCTTTGGGGTAGCCCCTCAAATATTGGAAAATGCTACGTCACCCCTAGTCTTTCTCTTTGTTAAACACACCTTGTTGCCTTAATTGCTCATCACACAGTTTGACCTCCAGACCTCCTGATCATGTTTAACAGAATACAGAATGAGAGAGTTGGAAGGGACTTTGGAGGTCATCTAGTCCAACCCCCTGCCCAAGCAGGAGACCCTCTATCATTTCAGACAAATGTCCGGTCTTTTCTCCAGAGATGGAGAAGGAAGGAAGGAAGGAAGGAAGGAAGGAAGGAAGGAAGGAAGGAAGGAAGGAAGGAAG